TATATTAATATTTCAGTATTTTTTCTGATTATTTAAAGTGTAATCCTTTTGAATATTAAGTCACATTAAGAATGTTTTAATGTTTATGATTGCATAATTAAAATGTTAATGCTGTCTAAAATATATAAATAAAATAAAAATTTAAATATATACAAGTTTTATAAAAAATTATTAATTTAAGTTTTCTTTGTATGAGAAATTATTTTATGCACCTTTAGTGTCATATTACAATCGTCAATGTAATATTGAATTATGTACAGTGAAAAAAAGGGGGGTGTTTCTTGACAGTTATTTTTTACATTATGCTAATGAATTACTGTAGAGAGAAAGAACTTCTGAATCCATAAAATCTTATTTTTACTTATTTATTACTTTATACTGTAAACTTAAATGAGGAAAAGAGCAGATATTTAAACATCTTTCACTACACATGAAATTCCCAGATTGATTTTTGAGGTTTTTGATGGATAGGTTTTTTAGAGGGACTAGGTTTGAAAATGTTGCTCTTAGGCTTGTTTTGATGTTATTTTTTTTAATTGTTATTATTATTATTTTCTGTTTATGTAGGTTTTTTTTTATCATTTGAAGTTCTTGCAAGTTGTTTGTTTCCATTGTACTTTACAGTTCAAAAAATCTAAATCTTTTTTAGTGATTTAAGTGATGTTATTACATATGCAGCTTGATTTACTCACAAGCAAATATTCATGTTTAATACTCTGCAAATATTTGAAAGAAAAAAAAAAACATTAATTAATCATAACCTTCAGGAACAGAATCCATAAACATGTTGAGTTGCACTATTCATTTGGCCTCCATACAAAAGAATGCAATTATGGCTTATCTGCAGATGAGAGTTCAGCAAACCTGCCAGTGTTTAACCTTGGGAATCAACTGAATGAGTGAGAGAACGGTAGCACTCTACACACAGAGAGCTGAGAGTAGCTACAAATATTATGGCTCTGAATACAGTAAGATCAATTTTACTCACCAACTTTTTGTTATACTCAGTGCTTGAAGTGGGCCGGTACGCAGTACACTTCAATATTATAGTCTTTAGCGCTGTGCAATGCACAGTCCAGTCATGGAAATTCTGTATATTTTATGGCAAAGGTTAAGTAAACAACATCCATTAAAAGACATAAGTGTTCATATTTAAAGCAACACTGATATGTTCTCATATGTTCAGTTAAGATTTATTTAGAGAGCTGTATCTTTCATGTCAGTTTTCCACTAAATTATTCATTGTGAAAAGCGTTTCAGTGGAAAAACAGCCTCTTACAACGTGTCAAAATCATGCAAGCAGAATGAGGCTGCTCTCATCGTTTGACTGTCAGATTGAAGTGTTTAACTGTATTCCACGTCTATTGTGAACATGTAGAGCAGATAATGTTTCATGTTTGTCTGATCTGCTAGTTCAAGTCCTGGTCAATGGCCCGTCTGACCACTAACGCCGCTCTCTTGAATGATTAAACCTCACGGGCTCCAGTGTCTGCCCTGTGCTCTCACCTCTGTCCTACAGCACAAATACATGTATGCATTAAAGATTTCAATAAGAAAATCATATTAAATGGTATGATGTCATGACACATCAGCAATGCCCTACTTTGCCGGAGTGCTTGAGGTTTGAAAGGGCTGATTTGTTTAAAAATGGTCTGAAGTTGAAGGATTGTGGGGGTTTCGACTATCACAACCATTCATCACTTATCTCTATTTGGCCTCTGTGGGAATCTTATTGTGCTTCCCACCTTTTCTTTCTCTCGTTCTTGTCAGTTTGAGGTGATGGTCCTAATCTGTTTATGGTGAGGGTGGAGGCAGGCCTGTGGGTTCTGAAACCTTATCATATCAGAGCAGCTTCCCGTTAGATTCCACAGATGCACAAATGCAATCTGCCTCTGTTTATGAAAGCTTCATATCGGGATAATATGCATGGCTTTTTATCAGTGTGTGGCAAGACTGTATCTCTGCACTGAAAGACTGTGTGTGTGTGTGTGTGTGTGTGTGTATGTGTGAAAGGGGAGGATGTGGCAATGGAGAGTGAGTTTGCTGAGATTGAATTGTTATAATGGACATTCAAGTATTCGCAGTTGCACAGCAATAGATGTTGTGGATTTCTGTGCATTTTTGTGGATTTATGAGCATGTGAGTTTGAAAGGGGAGGATGTGGCAATGGAGAGTGAGTTTGCTGAGATTGAATTGTTATAATGGACATTCAAGTATTCGCAGTTGCACAGCAATAGATGTTGTGGATTTCTGTGCATTTTTGTGGATTTATGAGCATGTGAGTTTTTATCTACCTATCTATCTATCTATCTATCTATCTATCTATCTATCTATCTATCTAAACATTTTAATTTGCTTATTTTTATATAATTATAATATTTATATATAATTTATATGTAATAAATCATATATATTGTATTAAATATTTATATAATATAAAAGTATGAATTAATATTTGTATATTATTATTATTTAATGTCTTTATTTTATGTACATTTTTATTTTCTGGATGTTTATTTGAATAATATAATTTTATTAAGTATTTATGTAATATAAATATGTGTTGTTGTTAATGTTTTCTTTTAATTTCTTTTAATATTTTATGAATTAATTTTATATAATTTATATATAACAATTTATACTTACGACACAGTTATATTGGGTTGGGATCGCAGAGTTTGAGAGCGTGTGGTTTAACTTCATTCCTGTGAAGTCTGAATAAGGTTTTATTTATTTATTTATTTAATGTTGCTCAAACTTTTTCATCCTTGACAAGACCCCTGAAGATTCCCTCATCTTAAATTGATAATACTGTTTATTTGCTGTATTGTTTGACTTCTGAAGGGGCTATAGTTCTTTAAGCCCACAGCTATGCACTCCTGGGTCAGTCCAAATGTTATACATCTGAAACTTACAGGTCTGAACCGAACACCTCCAGGGTTTCCACAAAGCCAAGGCAAAACTCCTTTTAACCACCCCTGGTGACTCTCTTACCAAGGCCTGCTGCCGTGTTCTGCAGTGAACACTCTCGTATGTATTCATACAAGCATGCAAGCACACGGTTATGACTTCAAGCACATCTCTGAGTGTGGACTGAATACATCAGTGCCTTGGAAATATAGCTGTGGTTGTAGATATTATTTGCGGATGTGGCACGAATGTGGTCAGCGGTTTTAAAAAAAATAGTGAAGTAACTCGAGTTATGTCGAGTACTTTAATATTGTTAATGCTGGAGGTTCTTAACGCTTTTTAATGAATTGAACGCTCCTGCGGTGAGTCTGAATGCTTTTACGACACTGTTAAAATCAAAGAATTAAAAGCATAACGTTGTTAGAATTGAATCCCTGCTGTTCTACCTAATCACATATTTGAATGCACACGAGACGGGGGACAGCAAGAAAGTTCGATTTACTTTGGGATGGCTTCATAGGCCTACTGTTGAGACTGAGAGACTGCTCAGGGGCCTCATCCAAAAAGTTAGTGGGATATCAGGGCTAATTTACACTGTGACTGTTTCACAGTGTGCATTGTGTGTGGGTTTCTATGTACTAAAACTCGAATTGTATATTTTCTGAAGAAAAGGTGAGTGGTACCTCGCTGTACAAAAACTTTGAAATGTTTTTAATGTGTTTCTATGCGGCTGTTAGGAGTTTTTAAACAGGGGTCTGAGGACCCCTAGGGGTCAGCAAGGAGGTAAAGGGGGGTCTGGAGAAAAACTGAGAGAGAGAGAAAAAACAAATTTTACAAAATGCACTTTTAGGGTTTAGGGTTAACTTTAAATATTGATTGCATTTTTTATTTTAATTATTTATTTAACACATTTACACAATTTGCTTGCTAAAAGAGTACATAAATTAAATATATATACTGTATTATTAAATATACATTAAAGTTGTATACATTATACACTGTAAAAAAATATTGTTTCAGTCTGTCTACTTCAAAATTTCGTGTTTACTTCATGTGCAATTTGCAGTTTCTTTGTAATTATTTGTGAAACATTTCCTAACTTTCAAAGTAATTTCTTTTCATTTTGGTTGGTTTAGGAAAAATATATATGCTGTCAACTTAACTAAGTAAATATTTTTATATAGCTTTATGATTTGCTTTGACTTCAGCACAGTGACAATATAAAAGCCAATTATTTAATGTAGTAAACAACATGTTGTGAGATGTAATACAATGAATAATGTTTTTCTCACACAGAATAATTGGGTCTTAGCTGTAAATGAAGTGCATATAATTCTTACAAGGGGTTCATCATATTTTGGGATTCTTAGCATCTGAATGCTTGAAAACCACTGGTCTAGGACATTACTGGGGTAATACTCCTCATGCTTGATTTGAACGATTAGAAAAGGACGAAGAAAAGCAGTAAGAGCAATAGATGGAGAGCAGGAGGCTGTTCTCAGAGTGCCATTTCGCATGAAAGAATGGTTTCAGTCTTGAGTTAGTTTCATCTCCTCCTCATTCACACACTGTTCATCATTCTCCTCAGGGAATCACAGCACCACCAGCCGCCCAACCTGCTGCTCCTGCTGCCTGTTTCTCTCTTTCTCTCTCCATCTGTCTTTTTGGGCTGAATCAACCAACCTTGTGTTACAGCTACTATTTAATCAGAGAATGAATCCATTACTCAAATGTGTTTTAGTGCTGTCAATCAATTAAAGCTTAAATGAAATCATTACATAAAATGCCAATAGCTCAATCAAATTAAACACAGTTTACAAATATTACAATTAATTGCACATTTAAATATTGAAGATAATTCCCAAATGAAGATGATTTGAAAACATTATTGTGGCAGATGAGTCAATCATTGAACAGACATTACAAGTAGAATGTGTCCTTTGTGAACAGCTTAATGTTTTTTTTCTTCTTTGTATTTATATGCACCATAGTGTGTCCTAGTTGATTGATTTTTGGATTCTTATTTCATCAGACAAGGGTCGATTTTAAGTGGAAGCTCTGGAGAAAATGTCTTTCTCTCTTTCCCATAGCTGGGAGGTAGTGTGGTTCCTGCTCTCCAACCTGTGCTGGTGGAAGGAGGAGTATCACTTTGACGGCTTCAGGTTTGACCATAGGCGTAATTTGCGGGTGCGACGGGTGGGACATGTCCCCACCACTTTTTGCCAGGGTCGATATTGTCCCTACCACTTTTTGAAAGTAATTGAAAAATATATTGCGGAAGGTATGTATTAAAGGGAAAACAAGATCAACAAATCATTCTTCATAATCTTACAAAATCGAGTGGCGAGTTTTCCTTATATTTATTTTATTATTCATATAAAAATTATAATAAAATTATAATGACCTGTTTTGGTTATATTTACTATTAATTGCAGAAGGTGCGCTCAGCAAAAATGACGCGAATATTGATGGTTTTCACGTTGAAGTAAAGTAAAAGACCGCTTCTTAAACCAGAGAAGGTGAACATGTTAGTATTCTTGTGGGGGAAAAAAACATGCAAGCACTGTCACCAGCAAGTTTAGTTTTACTTTTCTTTTTGTTTTGTTTTCATTTTGAAAAGCTTATCTTTGATGTTTACCTCGCCGCTATGGAGGCTCTCTCTCTTTTTTTTGATTCCTCAGTGTTTGCTAAACGTTCTGTAATTTATTAGTCATTATATAGTCTAATACAGCGTGTAGGCCTATGCCATGCCTCATCTTATTCGTTTTTGTTAATAACGTTTTGTAAGCTAGTTTGTCATTGAATCTTACTGTTTTATTGTTGTTGTGCATTTTAATTAAAAATAATTAATCCATCTTTTTTTTTTTGTTTTCTTAAAAGGTGAAAGGTGTATAGATGTAAGCTAAACAGACAATTATATTTTATTGTAAAACCTGACAAGATCGTGAAATCGAAAGTGAAAGCATCCGAAGCCCAGTTTATAACATGGCAAAAGAGGAACTCCGGTTCACAAAATGATGACAAAGAACGGGTTGAATGTTAACTACTTTCGTTTCCATATAACTATAAACTACAATAAAAGTTCATCAGCATGCATTGATTAATAGCATGTTGTAGCGCAAAAAAAAAAAGGCAACCAACTGAGAAAGTTAATCGCAAAAGAGCGACCAGTGGGAAGAATGAGTCTGGAGCCCTGAATTGCCCAGCTCCCTCTGTCAATCTAGCATCCCCTCAGCACCTGTTCAAAATTCTCTGGCGCTGCCCCTAGTATATCGATGTATTTTTGAAAAGCAAAAATGAAGTTTGTCCAACTCTAAACCCAGTCCTCAAGTAAATTAGGTCATTAAATAAAAAAAACTAGCAAAACGAGTTGCGCGGTGTCCCCACCACTTTTCAAAGCAAAGTTACGCCACTGGCATTTGACGCTGTGACTTCAATGCTGTACCAACACCATGGCATTGGTCAGTTGTTCTGCACCTGTAAACAAGCACTACCATCATTCATTGTGATAAGAAATCATTGTCTTAAAGGGGTCATATGATGCGATTTCAAGTTTTCCTTTCTCTTTGGAGCGTTACAAGCTGATTGTGCATAGATAAGATCCCTGAAGTTGCAAAGACTAAAGTCTCAAAACCAAAGAGATATTCTTTATCAAAGTTAAGACTCTGCCACGCCCCCCTAAAACGGCTCGTTCTAACACGCCCCCACATATCTACCTCACTATGTGGAAATATTAGCATAATGCCGCCCAAATGTGCACGCAAAGAAAGAAGGCGTGGTTTCAGTAACCGCAGTTAGTGTTGAAGCAGCCATGTCAGGGAGACGCTGTGTGTTTCTAGGCGAAAGCAAAAGCACTTTATTTAGCCTTCCGAAAGTAGATGCATTTAGGAATCTTTAAGATCACTTACAACAGAACAGCAACACATTTTATGGACGACCGTTTCGTGAACCTAGGAGAAGAGGTAATTCTG